AAAAGCCACCCCCCGCCCCGCATCCCTGCCTCTCCTGAGCCTGTTTCTGCTCCATAAGATGGAACAAGGGGAGTGCCCAATTGCAGATGCCCACCTCCTCAGTGGGGGACACGTGGGTGAGGACAACGGGCAGCGAGTTGGGAAGATGGCCAAACCAGCCTGGATGGGGCGTGGGGGCAGGGGTGAACACGAGGCCCTCACGAACCTAGCCCTGGCCAGCCCCTCTCCTGCAGCAGAGTCACAGGTCCCCAGGTGGACGGGCAGACAGAGGGCCAGGGCCGCACAGCCATGGGTGGAGGAAGAGGCTGCCACCCAGCAGGACAGGGTTGGTGAAAGGTGCTCAGGGTTTGGGGGCGAGGGCAGCCCTGTCCAGTGCCATGGTCCGTGCAGATGCCCAGGGCGCATGGGGCAAGACCCTACAGGCAAGGCAGGTCCCCTCCTCGATGCCCACAGCAGCCTAGGAGCTGGCATGCCAGGCTCACCTGCAGCACGAGCAACTCACAGCAGCTGACAGAAGGGGTGGCCTGCTGCAAGTGCCATGGCAGCCAAGGGCCATGCAGCACCTGGGGACAGCCAATGTGCCCCACCCAGGGGCCTCAGGAGGGGCTGCCACTCAGCTCGCCCTTGAGACAGTGCACAACCAAGCACTGTGTGTGTGGGGGTGGTTTTCTACAGAACTTGGAGCCTGGAGGCATGGCTCAGGAGGGGCGAGTTCACACCCTCTGAGCCTGTCCTTGGTGGGCTCAGATGTCCCGCCAGTCCCTGCAGCCCCTCTCCACAGTCTGTTCAAGCCTGGAGAAGCCAGCGACATGGGCAGGATGTGTCTGAGTAGGTTGGCCAGCAGGTGCCCCGTGGGAGGTTGGAAGGAGGGAGAGGCAGGCCGTGTGCCTCCTGCCCCTTCCCCGCAGGGCTGCCCACTGCAGCCAGCTCATGGTGCTGCTGCACCTGCCCGGCTGCTCTGATATACCCTTCTAGAACACGACAGGCCCAGGAGGCATCAGCTCCAGCCTCAGGAGTGCACCCGGAGGACCCCTCCGGCTTCTGGTCTGAAGGAGCAGCTGGTTGCAGGGCAGCACCTCTGGTGCACAGAGAGGCGTGTCGAAGGCACAGCGGGGCTGGGCCAGCCTCTGCCCAGGAGTGTCAGCAGCCCAGAGCACGCCAGCCGTGGGAACGCCTGTCAGGGAGCCGGGAGGGCGGCCAGCAGGTGTTCTGTGATCCTGGCTTCCTGGTGTGCATCATGGCAGCGTGGCCACAAGATGTACACAAACTCAACACCGTGGTGATGTCTTCCTTCATAGTCCTGGCCCTACGGCCTCCCCGGAAAGGCCACCAAGAGAGGCCCACAGTGTGCCCAGCTGGGACTACCCTGCACCCCCTCCCTGGGCCTCTGCAGCAGGGGCCAGCCCCCACCCCGTTATGCCTTCCCACCAGCCTTCTTGGCTCCACACTCCAGCTAGGGGCACCCTGTGGCTTGTCCCCCGTCCCTCCCCGCCCCCCTCCACACACACTGAAGACACGCACCAGAGGAGGTGGGAGGCTTGGAGCTGGCTGTGGTGCTGAAAATGCGGAGCCAGCTCATACCAGGCGATGAGCTGCCCTGGCCACGTGCCCCAGCACACCCTGCCTCCTGCCGCCACCTCCTTGGCGGGCTCCCTGGGCTGCCCCACCCTCCCTGCCCCACAGGCTCCACCAGACCCTGCAAGGCAGACAGGGGCAGGTGAGCACTGATGACGAAGGGGTCATGAGAACCGCACTCCATCGGAGAAGCCCCAATCCCACAATAAGCACAGAGCGAAAGGGAGGTCCCGCCCTCCTGCCTGGCTCCTTTCTGCTCTCCTCTCTGAGCTCGGGGCTCTCTCCTGTGCCAGGGCACACGATGAGCCCCATGATGGAGACAGGAGAGACACACGGTGTCCACTGGGCAGCGCTTAATGAACTGGCAGGTTATCAAAAAGCAGAGGCACCACGTTGGCCACGGTGGTCCCAGCCCAGGATGCAGCCAGCTGCAGAGGCCTGCATCCGACTGCTGGAGGTGAGCATGCCAGACTACACCCTCCCCACTCTGCTCCCCGCAGGACTGGGAGCAACTCCCAGGGCTCGCTTCCCTGGCCCTGCTGACCTTTGTCCCCTCCACCCACACACCACAGGTACCAGTGCAGGCCCTCGTGGCATTCTCTCACTCAGGGGAGCCACCTGCCCGCTCCTCCCAGGACCTTGACCTTCAGCCCTCCACGCCCACACACCCCATAACCACGTCTGGCCCACTCCCCCATTCTTCCCACACTGCCCGGGGGCGTACACCACCTCTGCAAGGAGGCCTGCGTGCTGGTCTCTTTCCTGTCCATCGTACAGGGAGCTGCCCAGTCTTAGCTACCACTGGCAGGACTGTGGGTAAAAGTTTCTCCACAAGGCAGGCTTGGGGAACAAGAGGCCCTGCCCTGCTGAGCCCGCCCTGGGCAGTGGCCTTAGGCAGGGTGGACTCCACAGCTCTTGGTCAGCCCCACAAGGGTGGCCATGTGTGGTCAGGCTCAGATAGGGCAGTTTCCAGGGACACAGGTGTGGCAGGTGGCAGGTGGGAGGTGAGATGCCAGCTGGGGCCCTGGTGTGGGCTAAGCTCTGGAGGGAGGAAGGAGAGGGAAGCCCATGCTCGAAGGCCACAGCACGATGGGAGCCATGTGGGCCGAGACCAAGAGACACGCAAAGAGGTGAAAGCCTCGGGTGCCCTGCGGACCTGCGGAGTTCAAGCTCCTTGGGCCTTTTCTGGTAACACGCGGCTTCCTTTAGCTGACATTGCCTTGCAGCTCTGACATAAAGGCACAGCGTGTATTCATTCGCCAATGGCTTCCCACTAGCCTTGCAGGGACAGCCCAAAGAAGCACACGTGTGTAAAGGCCACCACTGTGCTGCTCAGATCTGGCTGTGCCTTACGAGGGATGTATGCCTTGTCTACACCCCACTCAGGACCAGAAATGGAGTCAGGGAGGTGAGTGAGGTTGGCCCCGAGTCTCCCCACAGACAGTAGGCCTTTCCCTCGGCCCTCTTTTCCTCCTGTGGCTGGCTCAGTCATGCGTCTCCACCAAAGGCTCTACCTAAATGGCAGCTCAGGGTCTGCCTCCAGAAAAGGGGCCTGTGGCCTGGTCAGGGCGACCAGCTGTCACTCACAGGGGGCAGGCTGCACTAGGGCACAGGGTGAACTTTTCATCTCTAAGTGAAGGTACCCAGAGGTTCAGCACTTTGTGACACTGTGGCCACACATGCAGCAGACAGTTCCGTCAGGTGCAGATGGGTTATCTTTCCAACGACCCGCTGGGACCAGCCCCGAGCCCCTCCCTGGGCCCCAGGAGAAGCCTGGGAACACTGTGGCAAGCGGGGCTGGCTTGGGGTGGACAGAGTTCACACTATCCTTCAGGGAGAGGCTCAGGAAGAGGTGCCCTGCAGCTGGGTAAGGAGAAACTGCTCATGCTTGGCAGAAGGAAAGGATGAACCACAGGAGACCCTGACACTGGGGCCCTACCCACACGCAGTGGCCAGGGTGGTGGCTGGCATCGGGCGACGTCCTGAGGCATGGGGGTGGGGGGCGGTGGGTGCCCGGCTGCAGGCAGGCCAGGCCAAAGCTCCCTGCTATGTTCTGGCTGCGGCTGTGCCGCCCAGGAGGGCACACGACTGTGCCACTCCCTGGGTTGCCAGGCTGACCTGGAGCCCGGAAGGTCTGGGGAAGCCGCTTGCCAGTAAGACGAGCCTTTTCCTGGCACTCCTCGCAGTCGGGCCTCCTTGGCTGACTAGCCACCTAGCCGCCGCACGTGGGCACCGGAGAGTGATATGGGAGTTACTGAGAACCTTTGCCTAAGAGTCTCCTCCCATTATTCATGTACTCTCAGTATTTTGTGTGAACCACATCAAGAACATTAAAGTTGTAAAACACCAAAAAAAAAAAAAAAAAAAAGAGGGAGAAAAGACTGGCCTTTTCCTGTGAGCCGCACCCAGACGCCCAGGGTCCATGGAGCCCCTCTGCACTGCAGCGGCAAGGAGGGCGAAGGTGGGAGGGCAGAGGTGAGAGGCAGCAGGACCCCGCCTGACGCACCCAAGGTCAGACAGGTCCTTGGGGCCACATCTCATCCAGCACAGCACCCAGAACATGCCCGTCTCCTCGGGAGGCCCTGCCCAGCAAATCTGAGTGCGTGGGATCCAGCTCAGTGAAACCACAGTCTCCCCTAAGGCCGTGCTTCCTGAGGCCCAGACCTCAGGGTGGGCCTGGGAGGCCCAGCCCTTCCCACCGTGCAGCAGTCCCCATCCTCGCTCAGGGAGCCCCCCACTGAAAGACAGACGTGGCTGCAGCCCGCCTTGTGTCAGCACAGCCCTGTAGCCCACTCGCCAGCACCCCTGCTCCTTCGCTCTGCTGCAGCACTGCGGGGCCTCCCAGGGAAGCCCCTGGCGGTGGGGGGCGGTCTATACCCGGTGGAGGACAGGATACAGGCCTGCCCAGCGCGGTCCCCCTTCCTTCCTGGGCCCTCTGGCTGCGGGAGCGAGCGCCCAGCGGGCTGAGCCCCGGGGCTCGGGCTCGGCGGGGAGGACCACAGGCCCTTCCCTCCCTGGGCGGGACTGGGCGCTGTCTCGCTGCGAGCCGCGCGCCGTCCCCGGCTCCCTCTGGCTGCAGGAGGGACCC